GGGGGGGGAGTGAGATAAAGGGGACTGTCTGATTAGAGTTGTGAGCCATCTGCCACCAGCTCCTTTGCTCCCCAGCAGGACTCTGAGGGCCACCAACCCCTTTGTTCCCCAGAAGAACTCTGAGGGACTGCACATCTGGAGCCTGTGACTCCCACCCCAGGGAAAGGCCCAGTGGGTGGGCCAATCAGCAGCCTGTGGGCTTAGTCTCATCTTAAAACTACCTACCTCACAGTCAGTAAACATTTATTGAGTACTGGCTGTATAGTTGGTAGTGTACTGAACACCAGAGGGGTCTGACCTGGCAGGAGGAGTTTGTGGTTGGACACCAGCCAAGTGGAAGCTTGTAGTTTCATGGTAGGACCTGTGAGGTGATAGTACTGGGGCATTATGTCATGGGCAGGGTTGACCCTATTATCTGGGACGCCCTGGGTCTGGGAGTGAGAAGACTGGGTTTACTCTGAGTTTCCCCTCTTACTAGAAATGTGACGTTGGGGTTGTGTATTCACCTGTGTGAGCCTCCGCTTGCCCATCTGTGAAGTGGGAAAAGTGCTCTGTGAGCCATCCAGTGCTCATACCTAGATCTGACTGCTGCAGGAGCATGGGTAGCATTTCAACAACAACAACAAAATGATCTGTGGGGGGGGGAGCTAAGCAGAGCCAGGAAGCAGCAGAGGCGGGAGGGACTGTGATGTCAGAGGAATGGTAGGTTGTTTAGGCTTGGAGAAGGCAGAATACTTGAAAGGAAGTGGGTGAGAGGAGCCTGGAAAAGGCTTCACATACCTGTGCCAGGGAAAGGAACCTTCTAAGCAGGAAGTGATTAACAGAGGAGACTCGGCTGAGGGGGTTGAATCAGGATGGAGGTGGAGAGACTAAGACAGGGAGACCTGGGAGAAGCTTCTCCAGCAACACAGGAGGGAGCTAACCAGGACCCAAACTGTGCCGTGGAAACAGGAAAGAAGACATGGATTCTAGGGACACACAAAGGAAGCCGACAACAGCACAGGGCTGTGCCCTCACACAGAACTGGGGTCAAATTCCATCCTTTCCACTTGTTACCTGGGTGGCACTGAGCAAGATGCTTCACCTCTCTGAGCCTCAGTTGCCTCATTCAGATACGGGACAGTTTAATATCTACTTTATAGGTTGCTTGTTTAGGATCAGGTGAATTAGTAGATGCAAAATGTTTAGTTCAGGGCCTGGCTGGTGTCCTTTTTATCTTTATCAGTAATATGAACAATACTCATTAGATGGGGGAGAAATGAGGGAGCTGGAGGAGTCCAAAATGAAAGTGGAACTATTGACAAGGAGGAGGGGCAGGGCGGGGCAGCTGGAACATGATATCTTGGTGTGCTTAGGGTGAGTTGAAGACCTGTGGGACATCCAGGTGAAAGTGACTGTCAGGAGGAGGGACTGGGGTTAGGAGAGAGCTGTGACTGCCTAAGGGTACATGGGACCCCTCCACACAGAGGTGTGATGGGGCTGCTGCAGGAACACAACTGTCACCCAGACTGGCAGAAATGTTATGAGTTTACTCAGAATGTTGGCCGAGGACTCCAGAGAGCTCCTGAGTCCACACACTGCTACAACTTATCACGCCAACAGAGCCATCATCCAGGAGCAGTGTGCGTTCACATGTCAAGTTCAAGTAAACTTTTTCGGATATCAGTGTCAGATGTAATTAATGTTAGATGGAAGAGAGATGATTTACTTTAGGTTTGTGATACTGTCCCATATGAATCGAACACAAATCCGCTGGAGAATTCCATGAACGTAAAGAAAATGAAGCTGCCCAAGCACCAAGTGTAATTTGAGAGAAGGTGGTCTAGGACAGGACACTGGGGACACCTGTATGCGAGCAGGGCAGGTAGAAGAAAGGTGGCAGGAAGGATGGAGGAGATGCCTGGGTACTATTAACATCAGGGGAGGAGTGAGTGTCAGGAACCATGAGTAGGGCTCATACAGTGGAGAAGCTGAGAGTGAAGACAAGGGGTGTCATTAGCATGTGGCACCCTGGATACCCTGGAGCAGCAGTAGGGCTGGGACCCAGAATGGCAGGGAAATGGGAAACTGGAGAGCATAGCTTGTGTTCTCAGAAGCCTGGCAGAGGAGGGGATGGGAGCAGACAAGGGAGTAGCATGGTTAAGAGAAGGTTCTTTAGGATATGGAGACATGGTATTTGTATTCACCTGACAAACATTTATTAAGCACCCACTGTTTATGACGTTGAAGGGAAGGAGGCAGAGGCAATGGAAGAGTTGAAGCTGCAGAAAGGAGAGGGGACTGATGGCTTACCATCAGGAAGGCAGAGGGTGGAGTGTCAGCTTTGGCCAGAGGTGAGAGAAGCCTCCTGGGCAGAGCAGGGGGAGGGGATGACTCTGGGAATTCTGCTAGGCTGGGGAAGAGAGGGGATGGCAGCTGTGGGGGTTGTGGGGGTTGAGTCAATGCAAGGTCACCAGTGAGACCTGAGAGCGAGGCTTTAGCTCTCGGTGGGGAGTGGGAATAAGGACTTCATGAGCACTTTGTTAGCCAGCAATTTCCTTCCCCTAATAAATGTCCTTAATTTTCCATAATTGAAGGAGAAGTCATCAGAGGTCAGTTGACGAAGCTTTAATTTGGGTAGCACAGAAGGGAGCAGCTAGATAGCAATTACTCTATCATTTACACAAACTCCATGATGAACTCAGAAAGCAGGCCAGGACAGAGTTCCCGCAGGCAGGGGAACAGCCCCCGGGAGGGCAGTACTGCCCTGAGGCTTCCCCTTGGGAGAGACAGGCTTTCATGACTACAGGACACTGAACCCTGAGGGTTTCCACAACAGAAAGGCAGGGCCCTGTTCTGTCCTGAGGCTCTAGCCCATCCAGTCCTTGCACCCAAAAAACAGAACTCAAAGAGGGCCCTGCAATGCATGCTGCCCCCTCACTGCCACAGCCCCAGTTAGGCTCTACCTCTGACTCACTGGGCACACTGAAGCCAGTCCTTTCCCCCAAGGGCCTCTGTATCCGTATATCTGAGATTAGTTATCAGACTAAGTGACCTCCAAGGAGCCTTCTAGCACCAACATTCTGTGTCTATAAAAGCCAGCTGTCCCTTTGCTGGTCTTACTGGAAACAGTCAACACAAATATGCTCAGAGAGTGTACATTTGCTTTGACCCTGTACCTGTGGGACCAGAAGACCGAAGGGTGTTCTCTACCTGCATAGGCCAGGTGAATACACATGGGGTATTGATGAACAGGTGACCGGGTCATGGGGGCTTACCGCGTGATAACCGGCACCAGTGCATGGTGCAGAGAAGGGGTGTCAGAGCATGGAGACAATGTTAGGTGGGTCTCAGGGTGAAGCAGAATAGGAGGCCCAAGTTGAGATCAAGGCTTGGCTGAGGCTCTAACTTGCCGTGTGACTTTGGATGCTGGATCCCCTCTCTGGTCTTCCAGAGAGGCTTGGCCTGGAAGGCTCCTGAGGTTCCCTTGGCTTCTGGCAAGAGGGAGAATGCAAGTGAAGTTCAGAGGCAGGGCTGAATACACAGTGCCTGGGTGCAGGGTGTGGGATGAGACTGGCTGGAATAGAGTGGAAATATGTGAGGTGAGGTGGGGCACCAGGCTGGGGGCACTGGCAGGGTTGAGTCATGATGGGCCCGGAGAGTCGATTAAGGCAGAAGAAAGGATTGGACAGTCTAGAATTCAGGGAGGGTTACAGTCAGCACTGTCTATCTTTTGTTTTCTTTGATGATTCTAGAAGGAGTCCTGAGAGCCTTGGGCACACAGCTGTCAAGTCATGGGGAAAAAGGATGACAGTGGGGAGGGGAATGGCTGCAGGCTGATGGGTCATCTAGGCCACGGGGTGACCTTGGTTCTGTACCCTCCCATCCAGGCATGTGGGGCCTGGTTAACAATGCGGGCATCTCAACGTTCGGGGAGGTGGAGTTCACCAGCATGGAGACCTACAAGGAGGTGGCAGAAGTGAACCTCTGGGGCACAGTGCGGATGACGAAATCCTTCCTCCCCCTCATCCGAAGGGCCAAAGGTAAGTTCGAGAGGGACCTTCCTCCCGCCCCCTGTACCTGACCCACCTTTCAGCTTTGCTCAGAACGGAAATAGGCCTCAGCAGATCCGACATCCACAGCCCAGTGAGGCTAAGCACATGACTCCCAGGGGCCGTGTGGGGGCCTGTGGGTGGTGGTGAGGGGTGTATGGTTTTCAGAAAGTAGAGCAGGAGAGAGGTCAGCAGTCTATGCAGCAAAGGCTAAAAGACTATAGTGGTAATCCAACTCTGGGTACCTAATCTGGAGAAATAGCCACCCTGTGTACAGAGCTTTCTGTATATCATGGCATCAGTAGGGGTGCGGTTAAGTAAATATTGGTTGGTATATCCATTCTATGCATTACTATGCCATACTAAAAAAATGAGACAATTGTACTACTAAGTAAAAAAATAATAATGAAATTAGAAATTTGGAAAACAGACAAAATGCCCAAACCATGTTAGGTAGTCAAATGTAAGTAAAGCACCTATGAAGTCACCAACTCAGATGTTCTCCGTAAACAGCAAACAATCATGGCAAAAGGGGAAGATCCATATGATCTATTCTAAGGTCTCAGCATTAATGACAGGAGGAACCCAGAGAGTGCTGTAGGATTTTATAAGAAAACTGCACCCCTTCGGTGACTTCTAACTTAGAGATTTCTGAAAGGATCCTCCTGCAGTGCCTGGGATGGGGCTATGCCTTTACTTCCTGGGTGCACACCCAGGGTGAGTGGGTCCCAGGTCTGCCTGGGCTGTCAGTGTGGATGGGCTCTACTTCCACCCACCACCCCCAGGGCTGGGTGAAGCTATGCACAACTCCTAACACACCCAGGCTGGGCCTGCGGGAGAGCCTCTTGAGGTCATCACTCTCTCCCTCGGCCCGAGACTCTGCCCACATGCCCCAGCCCTGAAGCCAGGTTCAGAACCCTGCCCCTGCGCCTCCCTGATTGCCGACAGAGCGCTGCCAGGTGATAACATTTGTGGGGGGAAGTACAGTGGGAGAAGGTGGGAAGTGAGACACAGCTTAGTTGTGTGTTGTGTGTTATGCTGTGCCCTCCTGCTATGGAAGCCTGCTTCTCACTGGTTTCTCCTCTTCTGGCCTGCCAGCACAGCTGGCTACTGGGGAAATATCAGGGACGTTGGTGCTGATGTGTGGGTCTGAGCTGGCTCTATGAATGAGAAGGCCCTTGGACCTTGGGTGGTGCAGAAGGTCAGGCCCCAGCCTGACAGGCAGCAAAATAAGCATCAGGGGCCAGGAGACCAGGTGCCAGCCAGGTCTCTGGAAACATGCCAGGCCCCAGGCCCTCTGCCCCCCAGGTAGTGCCTCCTGAGCAGGTGCTTGCTGTCTTCCTCTGTAGGCCGCGTCGTCAACATCAGCAGCATGCTGGGCCGCATGGCCAACCCGGCCCGCTCCCCATACTGCATCACCAAGTTCGGGGTGGAGGCTTTCTCTGACTGCCTGCGCTACGAGATGCACCCTCTGGGTGTGAAGGTCTGTGTGGTGGAACCCGGCAACTTCGTCGCTGCCACCAGCCTCTACAGCCCCGAGCGCATCCAGGCCATCGCCAATAAGATGTGGGACGAGCTGCCTGAGGTGGTGCGCAAGGACTACGGCAAGAAGTACTTCAATGAGAAGATCGCCACCATGGAGACCTACTGCAACAGTGGCGCCACCGACATGACCCCCGTCATCGATGCTATCACCCACGCCCTGACCGCTGCAAACCCCTACACCCGCTACCATCCCATGGACTACTACTGGTGGCTGCGAATGCAGATCATGACCCACTTGCCTGGAGCAATCTCCGACAAGATCTACATACACTGAAGAGCTTCCAGCTGTTCTGTTGGGAGCCCTGGTGGGAGGGAAGAGGAAGGAAGGAGGAACTTGTATAGTCACCTCTTCATTACCTACTTGTGGATTATCCACCATCCCAGGAGGACCCACTACCAGTTTTAGTGTCAATTGGAGGGGGTAGCCCAGCCCGACTTGTGTGGACACTAAGTGTCTGGGGCCTCCTCGCTCAGGGTGTGGAGTGGTGGGCAGGACCCCTAAACCTCAGGGCAAACATGGTGCCTCTGTCTTTCTGGAGTTGATTTCATACAAAGATTTTAAGGGAAACATCTTTATATTAAAAACAGATTTATTATAAAATAGAATCCAAATCCTTTACATTTTAAGCCAAAACCCCATTCAAAAAGTTTATCTCATTTGATCCGTAAGCCAACATCCTGAGTAAGGGAACAGATTCTTTTCTTTTGTGCACAAAGAATTTGCAGCTCAAAGAGGATATATGAATAATCCTTTTATTGCTTGTAAATGGTCCAAGTCATGTGTTCCTGTCACTGCTGTAGAAATGCTTCACATTGTGTGTTCCAGGGCTCTCTGGATCCAGCTGAGTCCTCTGAGCTCTGTGACCTTGCCTGAGCTTTACCATGTGTCCGTGGTGCACCTCTCTGCATGTCCATGGGGCCGGTGTGTGTGGCCACAGCCAGCAGTTCAGAACTGACTGTGTGGAGGGGATGGGACATTGTAGAGATTTCCATTTGAGATTTCTCAACCTCTCTTAAGACTTAGGATAGGCTTATGGAGGTGCTCTTTGGCTAAGAGGGCGGCTTCTGGTTTGGGTCTGCTTAGTTTTGCCTGGGGTAGAACCCCTGTTAATGGGGCATCCTTAGCAGGAGCTGTGGTGCAAAGGCCAGGCCCTGTGGCACCCTCTCTCCCAGGGGTGGGTCTGGAGTCTCTGCCTGTCTTATGTGGTGTTCACACACACACACACACACACACACACACACACACACACACATTTGTTCTGTAGGGCTCAGGGTGGCCGCCTTTGATGTCTTGCCTTCTTGATGTGTCCTTATTTTTTAAAAGAATAGTTTGTTGATTTTTAGAGAGAGAAAGAAGGAGAGAGAGAGAAACATCGATGTGAGAGTGCAACATTGATCGGCTGCCTCCTGCATTCCCCCTACCAGGGATCAAGCCAGCAACCTGGGCATGTGCCCTGACTAGAATCGAACTGGCAGCCTCCTGGTGGAGGGGATGACACCCAGCCAACTGAGCCATACCCACCAGGACTATGGCCTTATTTTTAATTAAGAAGCCAGGTCACTGATAGGCAGTCTGTGTCATCACTTCTTGGGGTTGGGTTTGAAGGCTGCCATCCTTGAAATTCCCAGGGCCTTGATGTTTGGACCAAAACCAGGCACTACTCTCCTCCGGGTGGCTGCACACCTAGGACAGTGCTGAATCCCATTCAGCGCTGCGCTTCCGCCTCTCCCTGAAGGGCCAGGCCTGCCACTAGAGGGCACCCTGCCTCCGCAGCCAGAGCAGCCTCTGCGGCGGGCTGGGAGCTTCCACTCAATCCTGAGGTCTCTCAGAGTTCCTGATCCCCACTGGCACAAAGACACAAGGCCCTTTAGAAACAGCGTTCCTGCTGTTCTAGTGGCTTCCTGGCTTAAAGGTGGAGTCTGGCGCTAGGAGAAGACAGAAGAACCTGGTCAATTAGGACTGACCACAGGGCTCAGGCAATGCCAAGGAAAAGCGGATCCCGCAATAAGCAAATTCACACCGCCTTTTGGGCCTTTGTCCTGTCTTCAGTCAGGATGCTCTGTCCCGGCTCCCTTCTGCAAGGTGAGGCTGAGAGGCCTTCAGGGATGGCAGGGAGGCCAGGCAGGTCTGAAATTCCCCAGAGCCCAGAGAGGGACATTTGTTAGACATGTTTACGTAACAGTAAGATTCTTTTGTCTCACAGAGCTTCCCTTTCAGAACTGCACTTTTACATCTTTTGTTTTCATGCTTAATTTCATTAAAGGAAAATGAATGTAACCCTTGTTACATGAATGCATGGATAGCTGGGAGCTAGCAGGAAGGGGAGATGTTCACACACTCTGAGCTGGGTTCAGCACTAAATCCAAGTCTGCTGGGGTCTTCAGGAGAAAGAACTGCTAGGTTAGCCCGCAGGCTGCCCTGATTTTTAATTTTTATCCCCATGATTGAAAAGCCCAGAGAACCTCCCCTCAGTGGTAATCTCAATGGTAATTAAAACCTCACACTTACCATTCACCTTCTGGCATCTTAGTGCCTACTGAGGTATAGAGTAGTTTTGATTGTGACAAGAGCCAGCTGAGGTGGGCAGGATAGAGGTGGTTTTTCCCAAGAGGGGAAGTGACTTATCTAGTGTCACAGTGGATCTGGGCAGACCTAGCGCCAGCATGAGGGTCTCCGGAGTGCTACTGTTCACTATCACTTACCCTGTGGCCCCAACAGTCCTGGGCAATAGGTGGGTCAGGGTCAGCAGGCACCTAGATCCTCACTGATTGTCAGCAGAGAGCTGCCCCTCCTTGTGGGGTTAAGGGGAGGAAGGAGGCCTTCCAGAGGCTGCCACCTGACTCTCACTGTCCAGTCCTGCTGGGAACAAATGGCATCCAAAGGCACTGCCTTGGGTAGGAGCATTGTCACCAGCATCCACCCCTTAGAAGGATTCCCTGGGTCAGTGAGGCTTGACAATGCTTTTCCCACTGTCTCAGGCCTTCAGCACTGGCCTGGACTTCCAACTCCAAGTCAGCAGGTCCCTGGGCCGGGGATCAAGCATTTATGATCTCATTTGATCTTCCCCAGGGCTTGTGAGGCAGGGAGAGAGTCCAGCACTCCCTGACTGTACTGCTCTGCCACTCCTGTGGTGTGACCTTCAGCAAGTGGCTCTCAGTTCAGGGCCTCAATTGGTGCCTCAGGCAAGAGGAGGGAAAGCCTGTAGACAAAACCTAGAACTGAGGGAGGGGTGTCAGGAGAGGCTCAGCGTGTACCCCAGACATTGCCCAGCAGTACCTCTTTCTGTGAGAACCCACGGCCTGCTGCCTTCAGCTGGCCCTAACCCTCTCCTGATGGCTGGAGGCAGGATGGGGGTTTTTTGTGAGCTCCTGACACTGCCTTGTTACAGAGCACATATTGTGCTGAACATTCCACCCAGGGCCGCTGTGAGCAGGTGACAGGCTGGCCTGGCCCTGCCTGCCACAGGTGGCTTGGGCTGTGCCTGTGCTGCCCACATCAGGGGGCCTGCCCCAAATTCCCCACTTTGTGGCCTGTTCACTTCCTGTATTTCAAACAGGGCCTAGCTCTGCAAAGCTGTGCAAACCTGGTGCAGGTACAGACTTGAACAAGCAGAGGCTCCCTGGCTCAGGTGGCACCAGGCTCAGGGCGCCAGGTAACAACCAGGGACATCTGTATAGTTAGGGCACATTACACAGCCAGTTCACCGCTTCCTCTCATCTGATTCTCACAGCAGCCCTGGGAGGTAGGCAGGATGGAGTGAGTATCTCATTTCATACCTAAGGAAACAGATTACTCCAAGTCTCTCGCCAAGTGAGTGATAGAGCTGGGCAGCCAAACCAGATCTAACCTCCAGCCTGGCGTTAGTGATGCATGAAAATCAGGGCAGATGGCAGCAGGATCTAAAATAAGAAGAGGGAAAAATACCTCAATTATGTAACAGTGGGAAAAGTCTGTAAGTACATGCACAGTAACAACCACAGAATGCTGCCACATGAACCAGCTCCTGCTTCCCTCCCCTCTTTGGGCTCTGCATGCTGCTCCCTAGGAGAGAACGTGCTGGAGGCATCCACCAGCGGCCCTCCAGTAGAAACTCTGCCTTGACTGGGGTAACACTGCCCCTATCAGGGGCATTTCTGAGGGCTTCAGGAAGACTGAAACCCAAACCTTGGACAGAGAGATTCTGGAGCTGCGCCTGAAGGGCTTGAGCATTAATGAGCACAGGGCTTGAGAATCCTCAGGTGAGGAGATGGAACAAGGAGGGCTCTGGGCTGTGTGCTCTGGTGGAGACCAAATAAGACCCAAGCATCACCTTCCCGGTGTTACAGGCACTGAAGAAGGTGGTTTCTGAGTGGTGGCTTCAGAGGTATAGGGTAAGCACCAGGGACTAGGGCTGGGAGAGGCTGCCAGGACCCCCAGAACCTCAGAAAAGGAAAGGGGAAACAGCCCTCATCAAGCCTGACAGCCTCCTGAGTGACCGAGAACTCATTACTTCCTCAGATGGCATTTCCTTGGTTGGGGAAAATTTATTCAAAGATTGACCTGAAACCTACCACCTCTAAAAACTCTTTTGGCACTTGGCTATGACTCAGACCCACACAGAACAACTTAAATCTTCTCAACTAGTCCACTGGATGCTTGGAAATGGCCAAGTTAGGTTAAGAGTCCAGGCCCCTCATTTGACAAGGTTTTCATACTCCTCACTGTCTGAACAGAAGGTTTCAGCTGTGGTTATCTCAGCACCCATTCTTGATGACTCACACCAGGCTGAGTGACCACCTGAGTCCCCTCAAGCGGCCAAGAACTTTGAGACAGGTTTACCATATGGGAGAGCTGCTGACAATCCTCACACGCACGTGCCCTTCACAACTAATCGAGTGTGCTTACAACTCACCTCTCATCTGATCCTCATAAACAGCATATAAGTTAGGCAGGACCATGTTCCCATTTTACAGATGAGGAAACTAAGTCTCAGGGAGGTTAAGTCACTTGCCCAAGATCACAGAACATGGGAGAGCCAAGACAGAAACCCAGGCCTTCCCCAGGATCCCTTCCTATACCCCCAGTCGACTTTAGACTCCCTATCAGGGACCTTGAGCTGGGCTGGCCTCTGCCCAGTCAGAGGCTAGCCATGTAGCCTGTGAAGTGTGAGGAGCACTAGGCTCCACTTCCTCCTAGCTCACAGTTTTGCAGAAAGCACGGAAGGGAGGCTGAGCCTTTCCTGCGTCTCACTGCAAGTGCCTTGGTTGTGTCTGTGAGATCTGCCAGTGGCCTGGGCACTGATAGAGGCTTGAGGTGGAGAGAGCAGGGCCAGGAAGTATTCCCAGGACTGTGGCTGAGGACCATCCTGGCCTTGGCATCGGTGGACATGTCTTAGAGCTAAGAGTGTAAATGGAGAATAACCTTAGGGGATGCTGAGCCTGAAACACCTTGTGCTGCTTTCTCAGTGAGACTTAATTACTCTATAAAATGTGAGGCTGCTTCCACTCATCAAATTATAGATAAGCTTAATTACAGCTCCCTGAGTAATCATACTGGGCTCCTTCAGAAATAGCAGTGAGCTGGTTGCTCTTCTCGACTTCAGCTACAGTCCATTCCCACCCCACCACACCCCTGTTTCAGGAGGAACTGTCCATTTTTCCCAGGTGTAAGTGCTGCTAAATTGTGCTCTCAGAAAGCGAGAGCTGACTTGGCAGATACACTGGGCACTCGCTTCTACTGGCCACCGCCTGGCTGGGACCACTCTCAGCCAGTGAGCTGCTGCTGGGTTATGGTTGTGTGTTCTGTTACTGGGTTGTTTACTCTGCTGGGGTTTCTCTCTCCTACTTATGTGTTCTGGCGAAAGGTTTTGACTCAATGTTTGAGCAAAGGTGGTCAAAGTGGTGTGGGACCTGCCATAAGAAACAAAGAAAGAGCATGGTGCTGAATGGAAAACACATGCTTTCTGGAGATTCAAGGGTACCTTCAAGGAAACAGAGTAAAGAACAGCAAAGAAACTAGAAACTGATGAAAGTTCTATGACATTATGAAGGGCATCATAAACTTCCCTGCAGTCTGGCAGGATCGACAGACTTGTTTCAGTGGAAGAAACTGGGGGAAGGCATGATGTGATTTCAGGGGGATTTGATGTGAATGGAGGAGCAACTGCTGATGATAATCCAAGTGCCCTTAATGTCCCCACACCTTCAGTTGCAGACTGAGCCACCGTGGGTGCCCTAGTAGAAACAGCATAATCCCAGCCCTGTTGTTTAGCACTCAGGTGCCTGACTCCCAGTTGCCTACCTGACCTGAACAAGCCAGAGGCTTGGGGCAGAGATTGCTGCAGCTCTCTGATATCCATCCTCCCCTTCTATAGGAACATATCCACCAATGTAT